AGAAGGCATACCTTTGGTATCCTTTATTAGAAATCTGCCTGCATTAAATAACTGACTGGTATTAGTCAGTTCTAAATCACTTACATGTTTCTCTGTATATATTTTACATTTTCTATCTTAAGAGTATGTTTTCTTTCTTCATAGCTGTGAGGCTTTGATACTATGCGTTTCTCAGAACAAATGTTCCAGATAAGCTCAGTTTATGAGGTGCCGAGCTTTGATACCATTCATTTCTCAAAACAAATATTATAGTTAAGCTCAGTTGATGATTGTTGTAATCAAGAGCAAAATCCAGACTTAGTCACCACCTCCTTAAATCTCCACAAGCGTATGGCATCATTGGATTTCACCTGCCTGCTGCAAAGAGAAAGAAATACTGGAATCCACATATCCTTTGGTAAGAAGTTACTGTGTTTTACGGGTTTTTTGCCAAGTGACCACCATGTTATAGATCACTGTAAAGCATTGCTGTGAAGAAGAGTTAGTGGGCTGTGGAGTCTCCAACACTGCAGGTACGGAGAAGGAAGTTACACAAACATCATCCCAGAATAGTGTAGCTATTGATCCTGCTTTGAGAGAGGTGATAGACTAGATCACCACTTTAGGTTCCTTCTTCTCCATTGATTCTATCAATTCATCTATAATCCGAGGAAAATAATTGTTGTACAAACATCTGGTAGAGGAGAAGCTGAAACAGCAAGGCAAGAATGACAATGAGAATACAAAATAGCTAAAGGAAAGAAAGCATGCTAACATAGTTCAACAGGCTGAGCAGACACTAAAGAAAATAAGTGACTGTTTTTTCCTTTAGAGACGTATGGAAGAAAACAAGAAAAACCATGGAAAAGAAAAACCATGAATTACCCAGGTTGCATTAATAATTCATTTTATTTTATCAGCCAGATTTCTTTAAAAAGTAGTATTTTTTTGGCCAAAGAACGGTCGTGTAGCTGTGCTGAAAACGTGCATTTTGCTTGCTATTCGATCAATGCCGTATTGAATTAAATTTATAAAATGAAAGAGAGAAACACTAGAACACCTATCAGGTGGATTCACCATGAATCTTAGGTTGTCACATTTAACCATATATTCCAAGTTAGGTGGAAGTATAATGAGAGCATAGAAAGATTTAGTAAGGATAGAGAGTCATAGTGAAAAAAATGCTGAATGAGGCTGATAATTGAGTGTTTTACTGAAGCTTACCACACTGCTAAGACTTCAGCGTGAACACATTTCAGGGAGAATAAGAACAAAAGTACCTAGTAATATATGCAGTTGCTGCAGTTACTACATGTGTTCACTCATTAAAATAATACAGAAAAACAACAAATTGGTGTTACACTGGAATGCAAGAAGACGAGTAAACACTTGTGGAAAGGATGCCTCCCTAAAAATTCCAGGCATGACCTATATTCATGCCCTCTGCAAGAGACCTCAGAATATTCATTAAAGGTATAGTATTTTGAAGTATTGATCAAAGCATTTAATATTTTACATTAGCTCAAAGAATGGTACTTGAACAGTCTGTTCACTAACTTTTCAGACGTTCCAAAGCATGAAATAGTTTGAAGGACTTCAAAAGTTTGGACCTCATCATTGTTCACAGGTAATACAAACTGTATGGTTTCCCAGTATCGTATTGTTCTGTATGGTCTTCCCCTGTAGCCTGGCTTTCTGATAACTTACCAAATCACACTTTCTCTTTCAGGGTATTTTATTACATTTGTGCTTTTCAAGGCAAATTTGGAGCATGTAGTTTGCAGCTGCTGGACTGTGTTCAGAGTTCTGCAAGGTGAGTACAAATTCCAGAATCTTGACATATTTCTTGTCTCTTCTCCTTTGTTTCATATCTTCCTCAAGTGAACATGAACCTAGCTAATATTTCATAGAGCTCGTATAGGAAGATGGAAAGGACAATTTTAGCTAAAAATGCTAATTTTGCCTATGTTGGCTGAACAAAGGTCAAAAGATTCTTACTACCTACAGTTACGTGAAGATGTATCAAGTAAAGAAAACATTTTTTTTTACTCTGATTTGCAAACCATGTAGGACAGAATTTTTAACACTGTGGCACAGTAATTGTCCTAGGTGTGGGGTCACCTCCAGACTATCAGATCTGCCTGTGAGCTAGTTGACAGAGATCTGGTCAATACAGGCAGAGGAGCCCAATGAGTTCTATAGTTCTATAGCTGACTGCTTAGCCTTCAGATGCCCACTTTATGACCAGTTGAATAGCTTCCAAACATCATTAATTAAATTAATTGGCCAAGTGTTCAATGAAGTGGTCCACATATGGACATCTAGTAATGTATGAGATGCCAGAGGATGTCCAAAACATCCTCTTGAGGATGGCAGGTAATAGAGAGATTTGTAGGGGTCCCATACCCTGCTGGAGCAGCTGGAAGCAAGGCAAAATAGTCCAGGGCATGGCAGGTGGCACTATCCACCTCTGTACAATCAATTTAATTGAGTCCTATACCTCCACTGATTATGAGGGAAGCCTGGACACATGGCTTACATGTAGGTACTGAGAGTAAGCCCATAAGTACAATAAGAAAACAAAACCTATTGTAGACTTTTAAATTGACAACTGTGCAGTTCTGAAAACTCCATAGCACCTGTCTTCTTTTTCAAAAGTCCCCAGAGATCTGCAATTCTAGGTGGCTAAACAGCTGAAAAATATCCAGATCCTAAGTCAAAAGAATAACAAAGCATGGCTTTTGCTAAGAGTTCGTACAAGGAAGATTAAAGCACTAATTTCCATCAAGGGGAGAATGCTGGGAGAGAGGCTGTCAAAAGTAGCCATGGCTTTTTCAGCACAGCATCTTTTTCTCTGAAAATACAAAAAGTTTCTTTGCAGTTAACTTGAAAAAAGTTTCTGATCTCTGTGCTATACAACTGGCATTTCATTATTTCACTGGTGACTTCAGTAGGAGCTGCAGGGCTTCCAGTGTTGTTGAAAATGATGCAATGGATATAAATTCTAAATAGGGATTTAGGAATCTAACTTAGATAGAGATCATAGAGAATCCTAACAGTCTTTCTACAGGTATTACCCTTTATGTATGCCCATTCTGTATAGTACATGGCTAAGTGTATTTTATTGTATCATTAATAATCAAATAAGCCATCTTGTTCATTAGTCGGGTAAGGAATTTATTGTTTGAGTTTATTTAATGTTCTCTTATTATGGACACTAAGAGTTTATGTAACTTGATATTCAAGTAACCTGTGTACAAGGATATGAAAAGTTTATGTGCAGGTCACTTTTTGATGTCAAGAAAATAACTTCTAGCTGGTAAAAGCAGAGCACAATAATTCATATTTACAGGGAAAAAAAAATGTTACCCTCTTTATCACAGCAAGAAGCCTCTATACACAAGTCAGACCCCAGAACTTTCCATTGCCTGTGCTGGGAAAAGCTAAATTGTCATTTTGATGGAGTTAGGTAGGATCTATTTTTAGGAAATATTTTTTATCTGTGTTGTGGGTTTTTTTTTTACGAGAAAATTGCACAGGTATTCAAATGATATCTCTGTTGTCTTCTGACAGTGTTATGTAGTATCATCCTCCATAATACAATGCTTAAGATCCATTGACATTAAAACATTCATGATTTGGCTAAGATGAGCTGTATTTCATAAGACATACAGTAATTTTCTTAAATGGCATGATGCTTCAGTTCAGTGCAGTGCAAACTGAATGCCTTCTATAACAAGAGTAGCACAATGTAATTTTTCTGGCATGCTAGTATGATTGACAGTGATAACATTGACAAGCATTCTAAGCTTCTCATTTTTGTTCCAGATCTCACTTTGGATCCCTACTTGTGTCATTGATGTGTTTAAATAGAAAAGAATGAGAAAAAGAAGAGAAGAGTGAAAAATGAAGTCACAGTGGGGAAAGACCATGCCTGGGACACCTTTTGCCATCAAACATGATCATCCCATGCCATCAAGGATAGCATTTGTCTAGGCCTTACAGTAGACTGGCTAATAGAGTGGTTCCTCCAATACCATGTTTTTCATGTTTTTTAAAAAAATTGAGATTCAGTTCATTAAAAAGTATTAAATATTACCAGTTGGGTCTTGTGTTCCTCTGAATGATTGCATGACACAAAATGAGCAATAAGGTGTGCACTGTGTATACCTAAAATTGTAGCATCCCTGGAAAGTTAAAATACTTTTCCAATGTTGAAATTCCATTTCTCAGCTGTTGGAGGATTTGTGTGAGCTCTTTTAATGGGAACCTCTCTTTTTCTTAAGCAAACCCATTTCATTGTAGCCATCAAAATAAAGATACTGCTTAGCTGTAGCACACTTACTAACCAACAAATACTCATTTCTGCCAAAATGTGTAAAATGTAAAACGTGTTTGCCAAAATTCAGCAAAAGCAAAACGAAGCAAATGAGTGAACAAGTGAAAAACCCCACACAACAAAATGCTACAAGTTCAATGCATTCCCAGAGAGCAGACATTTCATATTACAGGATAATCAGCAATGTGTAGCTTTTCTTTTCAAACCATGTATGTTCTCAGTTATGTAGAAGAGCACTCAAAGATATGCTGTAAGGCTTGTGTACATAAATATTTTGCCGAGTACAGCCCTGAAAGGGAGCTGCCGTAAAATGTCAGCTGTACCTGCATTATTCCCTTCTTTATTGCCAAGAAGCTGTTTTTGCTGATGATTAGTGCATTGCTTGACCCTTTTCACACTTCGTGAAGTCTTGAGGGACCATAAATTCTACGGCAAACTGAAAAATCTCAAAGATGGCCTCTGCCAAGACATGGAGAAGGTTCATCAGATGACCAGTTGTGTTGCAGAATGGGGACCATTGCCTTGGAAATATATTTACATGGAATTCCATTGCTGTTTTATTGATATTGTCTGTTAAGCTGTATGCTTGCTTCTCAGAAAGCCAAGCTGACTCCTGTGAATGCTCCACCTCAGAAACTATCATTTATACTGAAAACTCTGTGTCATCAACATTTCTTCGTAGAGCCTGCACTAGACAACGCATGCTGAGCGGATCCTTTGAGGGGCAGCCTGCAAAGGAAAGGTCAATACTCAGTGTCCAGCATCATATACGACAAGAACGCAGGTATACATGGACAGAAAGGATGGTTTAAAAATATTCTTAAAATAAAGGTGATGAAAAGAATTAAATTTGAGCCATACCTAACATGAAAAACTGAAGTCTCTTACTTGTACAAAGAATGGAATTCTACATTCTTCATTGTAACCATAATGAAATTCATTGTACTGTATAAATGGAAAAAATGCCTTTTTATTTCAAATGTCATTTCCTTCTTCAGCTACAAAGCTATCAATTTAAAGATCAGAAGGAAAGAAATTGGCTTATGTTAGACCAGATTGAAAACAATTGAAGAACATATAAGCTTCTGATGTTAGCAAGAGAAAAAAGATAAGAATTTGAGATATTGGGTGGCTGGAGATGGCTTTATAATGGCCATCCTATAAAGGTCAAAATTTCATCTTGAGATGTATCGTTAAATTGATTATGATTGTTTCAGGTCACTGAGACATGGTTCCAACAGCCAGCGAATCAGCAGAGGAAAATCTCTTGAAACGTTGACTCAAGATGTAAGTACTCGTAGAAATAACGGTTTCAATTTGAGTATATAAAAAATTAAGAATATGTACTATATAATAAATGCTTGTGTAAGACTAATGTCTATTTAGTTTATATAATGTTTACAATTTGTCCTTTGAAATCTTGAAAGGAATACTGTAACTGCATTAGAATTATCCTCAAAATAATTGACATGGTTATTTCACTGATAGACGTACTGGTTTTGAAACACTTGCTGAGATAGTTTCACTGAAGCTGTAGACACTACATTAGGAACACAACAATTGCTACCCAGGACACCTTAAAAAGCCTTACTCTGGAATTACGCAAATCACTGAGGCTGGCAAAACAGCACTTCAGAATTTCTGATGGAAGTTTAACAATGTTTTTCAAACAGCAGAACTGTCAGACAAAAGGACAAAGACTAAAGGAGAGAACAGTAACCACGGATTTCACTGTGGTATAGTTACATGCAGTTAAGTGCATTTTCACTTCTGAAAATTCATTATGATATTTTGTGGATCTCTGTGACTGTGAAAATTCAAGGGGCAATATTAGTTCGTCTGTTTCCAAACTATGACAGTCATTTTCTAGATGTGCTTCATACTTGAAAACAACTGCATAAGAAGTACTTAATGAATTACCCTGTGTGGTGGTCAAAAGAAACTGTAACTAATCTTTTAAAGCAGATGCAGCTTTGCTTGTGTCCGATAGCAAGGGTAACAGCTGGCATTACCCCTCCAGGAGTGCTCCAAAGACCCACTTAACTCTGAATAGTAATACTGATTATACCCTCCACTGGATGAGCACAGAAAACATCCTCCCTCCCTCTCCCCCCTCACTGTGCTCGGTAGTCACTACCTGTACGTTCTGCACAACTCTGCCTGGCAGCACGTGCAACAGGCTTGAGAAGCTGGGTGTCTAAAGGGCGTCTAAAGCCCTTTCTTTCGCAGTCTTTGCTCTTAGTACCTTTGGTGGTATTCATTCCAGTTCAGAGAGATCAACTGCACTTACAGGACCTTTGTTTTTAAAGTTAAAAGTTGCATTGGATGGGACTTCATGCATGAAATTAAAACTCAAATTAATCTTGATGAAAATAAGTAGCCTTGTGCTGTAGATAGAAAATACTGTACAATATGCTTGACTGAGTTGATATGCAGTGCATTTGGAAATAAAGATTTTTCATTTGAATCTTTCTATGTAAAATACCATATCTTGCTTTCATCTGAAACATTAAAAAACAACAACCCACAGACCTCATTTAAAAGGAATCATTTTGCTTCTAGCACTCCAACACAGTGAGGTACAGAAATGCGCAGAGAGAAGACAGTGAGATAAAGATGATCCAAGAAAAAAAAGAACAAGCTGAAATGAAAAGGTATTTAAAAATCAAAAGTCTGAGTGCACACTTTTCTGTATTAAGTATTCTCTGTATGAAGTAAAAAGTATTGAGAGTCATGATGAAAAAAGAACAAAGTGTAAGTGATATTTTTGCCAGGTATAATGCGTATCACTTAATAATTTACACTCTGTCTTTCAAAAGGAAAGTTCAGGAAGAGGAGCTGCGAGAGAATCATCCATATTTTGATAAACCACTTTTCATAGTTGGTCGCGAGCACAGATTCCGGAATTTCTGCCGAGTAGTGGTACGAGCGCGCTTTAATGCGTAAGTTTATTCCATATCAACAATTCGTTCCAACTGTTTACTTTCACGTCCTCAGAAATCTAGGTCTAACTTTTAATTTGAAAGGAAAACTGCATATAACGTGGTCACCACACGAGCTGGCAGTCAGTTGCCTGTGGTATAGTCGTCCTGTTGGAAGAAAGGAAGCAATAAAAAGCTGTGTAAGGGCAGATATGTTTGAGCAGTCTGTGATACTGACATGGGACAAGACTGTGGGGAAGCTGCAGGCGTGAACTGAGAGGAAAGGCTGATGTTTTATACCCCCATTTTTAGACCTTGGGGAGTCAGCTTGCTACTCCCTTCCTATTCCTCATCATAAGGTGGGAAGTGTTTATACACCAACAGTTACTCAAAGAATAGGAAAACATTAAGAGAAATTAATCCCACCTATGCTCACATAAAGAGTCCTTAGCCCATAATTAGAGACCCAGAATGGGATCGGGAGGTGTTCAGCTGTGGGAGATAAAAGGAGAAAACCTAGACCAGGTGAAAACCAGTAAGACTCAGTAACTGAACTGTAGGTGTATGTGAGTGTGGCAGATATAGATCTATGTACAAGCAGCTTGATATAAAATTGTCTCATTGCTCTTCTTTTAAACTTGTCTATGGCTGACACCCTAATTTTGGAGGGTTAATACACATCACCTTGCAAACAGACATCATAAGACAGAAGATAGCTCAAGGCTATGAGCTTGGTACTTGGAAGACTTGGTTTCAGCACCTGATTTACTACTGATTTTCTCTGTGCCCTTTAACAAGTTATTTCTAGGTAGAACAGGAAGGTTAGATACTCCAGTTTTACACAACCCATATTTAAGTCTTCTGCCACCTATGTAGGAGCATGTCCTTGAGTTAGGTGCCTACTTTTCTATGCAACTGCTAACCTGATTGTGGTTCACCAGTCCATGAAGCAGTTGCAAATTAAAACAGCAAAACAAAACACACAAACATGCATTCCAATCCACTTGCCAAATACATGTGGAGTGCCCAAGGGTAACAGAATATTTTTATTATCAACAGTCTAATTAAAATGTTTGCCATTATAAGAGTAAAATAATTTTGTTAAACAGTCGTTTTTTCATTTATTTAAATCCTACCTACTTTATTCATTTTCCCACCCAGCGTGCCAAGTAAGATATTCCAAGTATCTTCTTCAAACTGGTAGGATACATATTTTCTTCTAGTAAAAAAGGCTGAGGAATGCCACTATATACAATGTGGGGAAGAGGAGTGAGCTTAAGAAGACACAAAAGTCAGTGGATTCAGTGGGAAGGCATCAAAACCATTATATTCTGTATACTGAGTGCTGTAAGTGGGTGAACCTGGCATGTGGAAGATGCCTCTTGTTCTCCTTGCGTGCATCTTGCGTTCTTGTAATTCATGAAATCTCTTCTGGTAGTAATGCCACAAGTCAAGTCAGTCCATTTTTCACTTTAAGCTCAATGAGGAAGTGATGGCAATTTCACAGCCCAATGGCTGGAGCCTTCGCATGGAGTATAGGATACCTCAGTGCAGATCCTGTCTCAGCATGATTTGCTACAAGGAATTGAAAGATAAGTAAAAAGTGCCCCTAACGACTCATGAAATCTCTTCTGGTAGTAATGCCACAAGTCAAGTCAGTCCATTTTTCACTTTAAGCTCAATGAGGAAGTGATGGCAATTTCACAGCCCAATGGCTGGAGCCTTCGCATGGAGTATAGGATACCTCAGTGCAGATCCTGTCTCAGCATGATTTGCTACAAGGAATTGAAAGATAAGTAAAAAGTGCCCCTAACGACTGGGGCAGGAGAGGCTTCTTGGATAGGATTCTTGTAGCT